CGCTAGCTCCATGGTAAGTACCCGGTCAGATCAGGTCATTCATCATTCATGGGTCATTCCGCGTGCTGCGATCACTGACCATTACTTAGAGCGCGTTCAGACTTCGCAATCGCGTGATCGCGAAGTCTGAACGCACTCTAAGCCCACTGCTAGTATGATTGATGAACTTATCAAGGATTTGTTAAGTTTACTATCATGTTCACAGTTACATGTAAAGAACTATTCGAACTAGAAGTTTTGTTTCGATGAATTTTCAGCTCATTAAACACGTTTCGGACCGCGTGACACACATGGTATGTCATACTTTTGTCTCTATGCCTTGTTTAATATGACTAATTCTCTTCTTTCATACTGTGATGCTTATGAAAACACGTCCTCGGTTACGGGAGATACGTGCTCATAAGGGTTTGGTAAGAGGGAGGAAATCACTCATAAACTACTGATCAAAAATGATGAAATATTCCGGGTATACGCGCAGCACGCCGGTCCGCAGTGTATTAAATGCCCATTTAGGAACCTGCTCGATCCATTAACACACCGAAGAGCAATTTCTCATGAATTCAGTTGATTATAACGACACATCAAAAGTGAGGAGTAAGTGAATTCGATATCTCCACTGCAAATGTGGTAAAAGTTCTGCGTATGAGGAGTGGTGACCTGACCTACCAGGAGGTTTGATTATATGCTACTGCCTTAGGATAAAGGATAAAGTCTTCGCCGTTGATCAATCCCTTTGTGGGATGCGGCACGCATTCTACTTCCATTCAGAATCGTAGTGGCTTATTGAATGCGATGTGGCCTATACAATGACTTGCGGTGGCGTGAGGGGTTAGCAGTATCGGCGCTATGTACTCAATGCAGTGAACAGAACGTGTGACAAGCGGTACTCCTGGCCTGTGGCCGCAGAAAGTTTCCGCCGAAAAAGCCCCACCTGGCAACTAAACTATTGCGCCGTACACATTTATGATCGGCTCATATGAACTAGTGTAAATGACCTCCTATGACAGTACACGGCTTTGTGAACAGTACGTTGAAAGCCATGCGTATTCTCCCTGAAGATTAGTGCGCACCCATGCGGCGCACCTCCTCGAATACTGCAAATTTTTCTTCCTCTATTTACATTTGCGTGTTTTTATTTGTTCTTATTCATATCGATTTCATATGGAATAATGTTCAATAAAAGTATTCGAAAACCTAGCTGGAAGACTGAACTACACAAAAACAGGGAAATTGTTGCTGTGTCCATAATTTTCACGCGCTGTCGTGACTTTATGAAACGCGCCTTATTAGAATATAGGGTAATCCCGTGTGGTGCAGAATGGAATTCCAAAAAGAGGATGCCTCTTCTCCTGTTTTTCTTGACGTTGTCCAACCGTTCAGTTTATTCTTCAGTTCGTCGATTCTCTGCAAGCTAAGAACGCAATCCGCCTCATCCATCCTGCGAGCATTTCACGATATTAGACAAATACAGATTCTGGTGTAGGAATTTATTCCTTGATTCTGATCCATGTCTACTACAGTCATTCATAAAAGGATAAAGTCTTCGCCGTTGATCAATCCCTTTGTGGGATGCGGCACGCATTCTACTTCCATTCAGAATCGTAGTGGCTTATTGAATGCGATGTGGCCTATACAATGACTTGCGGTGGCCAGCCGATGTACAAGTCAGTGTTTTATCCTCCCAGACGAATCTGGTACCAATTTACCGTCCCCGGAGGGTAGAAGGCTTGGGATTTGAACCCAGGACCGCGCGAGTGGTGAGCGCGCCACTTGTCACTACACCACCTCCTGCCCACAGTCATTCATTACGACGAACAATTGCTGTACTTATTCTCATTCAATTCTCCAACTGCTATCTTATCGTAACCTCGGCATGCTTGTTTGCTAGCCTCTGAAGTAGGCAGGCTTATTAGGCCTCTGAAGAGAATTACATTGAAAAGTTAGGCCGAAAGGTGTGAACAAACTGTTCCACCCACTAACCTTAAACAGCACAACATCTCTTGAAGATCGATTTGCTAAGGTTATGAGTGAATGATATATGGATCTGTTTTTTAACTATCCTTATAATGGTTCTAGTTCAACATCTGCTGAGGCGTGTCTAACCATGAGGAAAGCGCACAAAAACAGCCTCTAGTAGACATCATGAAGTGTTGAGGAAATTTTCTGACTTAACTCACCCCTTCAGCCGTCGTGATAGATTCACCGATTGTGTTGGTTTTGAATTATTCTTTTCCGAATTGCAGATCTCATGAGTGACCGTCGTCCGGTAGAGCAGGAAACCTATTTTTCCAAACCAGAGCATCTTTTCCCACATCTCGACGAGGGCAGAATTCCTACTGAACCATTCTTAAGCGCTTGTCAAGGAATCGCAGACTTTGTTGGTAAGTCCCTTGTTACTCCTTGTTACAGTAACTTGTTTCGAATTTCCTTCTTAGCCTTATGTTTTTATCTTTATATTTTTATACTACTTTCTGTTCTGTATCCGTGAGTTGCACTCGTACTTGTTCATGTGTGGAGGTGATGTAGCCGCAAGTTCCGCCGTTTCCCACATCTATGCACGATTCAAATACCTGATCGGGCTCCTTTCAACCAAATCTTCCACCTCTCGAAGGGTCGATTTGTACCTGGCACAGCCTGGGAGGAAAAATCGCTTGTCATCCCTTCGATCGCGATGTTATTTAAAAGTAGGAAGGCCGCCGTGCGCGCGTCGCGGTCGCGTCGCGGCGTCAGCGAGTGGAGCGCGCCCTTGGCGGTGGAGCTAGTGGATTCCAACAGTGTTCTCCTCTCTATGTAAGAAGAGGGTTCGGTTTCGGTTCACCAATAAGTTGAGTACGTATTAGCTAGACCATATAAGCCCACTCATCTCATATCTAGTCCTATTTGAATTACTGTAACTACCACAAATAGCTCGACGTTTCCACGAAATCACCGACAGAGGAAACGGACGAAGAGTGATCTTTACCATGGACTGATAAGCGCCACATTACGTGTATGTCAGGACCAATGTTAAGATGCGGAAATGTGATATTTGGTTTAATTTTAGGGGATATTGTTCGGCTTTGTTCCCTTTATCACACTTTTCACCTGCCTATTATCACAACCCCTCTCAACTGACTAAAAACCTGATCCTGGTTCAAAAGTGAATGGCTCAAAACTCTAACATCTTTTAAGTTTAAATTGTACTTTACGAGCGATTGCTCACAATTTTTGGAATACCAGAGAAAAACAGCGATTCATATTCTCGCTAAATACCCTACTATTTTGACAGCTGTGCAATTTTAAGAACAGTTTCTGACCTTTGATTGCATTGTGTGCCCTTTTAACTCGATCACGACTGTGATTGCAATTTAGTTCAAAGGTACATTCAGGCTTCAAATCACGGATTGGGTTCAAATAGCAATTGGGAAAAAGCGGAAAAAATCAGCCCGAAATACCTCATATAGGACCCCATGCTGAACCGTGCTTAAACGTGCACAAGGTGAAGGAAGAGCGTGGTTGGACGAGTTCTCACACTGAGAAAGTTATGAGAAAGATTAATCCTCTCCGTTCTATAAATCGCCATAAGTGTTGCGTGTTTCTTTGCACTTTCTCCCACCCCCGTTTTCAGGTAATTGAAGTGAATGGACCACAACACGCGGTAGAAAACTGGCTTACGTTGCATGCATTATGATTTTACACCCCTGACGCAACTAACAATATACTTGATGGTTTTCTTAGGTTGTCCATAGCAATGAAATCTACTCGTGCAATAGTCCTTAATCGGCTGAAACATCCGTGACGCAAATAAAAACGATCGTGGCTGGAAATACGCCCCACGGGCCGCTCCGTCGATTTCTCACGGGAGCCTGGACAACTGGGAAGTGGTCCCCTAATAGCTTGCAGAACAAGGATGTGGACGGATATAGCGGAACTCTCCCGTCCCGCAAGATGTTATTTATAAGTAGGAAGGGCGCCGTCGCGCTCCACTCGCTGACGCCGCGACGCGACCGCGACGCGCGCACGCGGCCTTCCTTACTTTTAAAGTAACATCCAATCTGGCATGCTTATGCAACGGGCAAATCGCAGTGAAAATTCACAGTTGCTGAAATGAACTAAAATGCATGGCGCATAAAGCAGTGGATCGATCGGCGCTGATATTTTTAATTTTTTTTTTTTTTTTTTTTTTTTTTGCTAAAACTTTCTTTTCGTCCGTTAAGACATAATCGCTTTTCCTGAGCTTCAAAGTCCAATGCTTCTAAGGTACCAACGCACTCGTCACCTCCAGTTTCCATTTTAGAAGGAATCCCCGTGTGACAACTCTGACATCCTCTTTTATGATCCTATTCGGTTTATTGCAACTACATGCTTTACTTACACCCTCGCAACTCTTTAAATACCGTATTTACGATGTTGAGGAAACAAACCATCTTACCCCATGTTCTTTGAAGGCTCCTCCACTGGTACGTGATCTGGACCAGTCACCTTTCCTATTTTTATCCTACCTTGCCATGTTGAGGAACGCCTTGCAGCAAGCAGGGTACGCATCGTTTGCTGATCATCACAAGGGGGGGGGATCGTATGTAACGCGAGGGAGGGAAGGCGTCGTTTTTGGTCATTGAGAAAATTTTTGTGATACGTTGATTTTCTCTAGTTTTCACGACGCTCGGCAAAGGGCGAAGGGGGGGGGTCGTACTTGGCCATTTTGGGAGGCAGGGGGTCGTATTTGGTCAGTTCACGGACGCACTACTATTTCCGACACTTGAAAATGATAGTTTAATTCTGACGACCTCCCCCCCCCCCGCTCGACGGCTCGGTTCGATGAGGAAGGACGAGGGGCTGGGAGGGGGGGGGGGGGGGTGGTGGTTGTATTTTAGTATGGAAGGGGAAGGGGTAGGGGAGGTCGTAATTTTCAGAAAATGATCACAAGGCGATGGCGTGCCCTGGCTGCAAGGGTTCTATACTGCCGAGACGCGCCCACTGTTATTCAATGGCATGCATTTTCTTTTATGCTCTGCTCATATATGCCTCTATCATTGAATTTGCGTCTACGCTACGCCACCAAGTATTTCTTCGGTGCTCGCAGACGGAAAATTGCGCACTGTTTGAAACCGGGTGCAGATAGACCTCCACCCAGGGTGCTTCCGACGGGTTATTTAACCTTTTTCTTCGCTGACGCTTTTTCCTTCCACATTTGATACCTTCTATATGATATTTGACTCCACTTATTCTAGCCTTGCTGCTGCCGAATGTGTGCTTGAGTATATCATTATTATTCAGGTTTTTTGGGAGCTGCTTTCTCACCAGTGAAGGCCGATATTAATGGCAATGTTGTCAAAGTTCGTACCCGATTTGAAAAGGATCGAATAGGTAGTTTCACGCGTACATCTTTGATCAGATCCACTAACGTAAAAAGTAAGCTGTTCAGGTCAGCGCTACTTACAAGATTTGATTGATAACGATCTGAAGGATCACGGTGGAAATTTGGGAATAGCCACAGAAGGTCTTTTGTGGTTGAAAAGGTTGTTCAGAAATGTCTTCTACTTCTTTTCTTTCATGAAGGTGGAATTCTTCCAGAGGGCTTGAGTTTATGCTGGAAATGCTCACATTGATGGTGCAAGAGTACAGATCTACAGCGGACAAAAGTAAAACGGAAAATCTGGTCGGTGTCATCAATAGGGCGTACGAGAAATCACTCAAACGACATCATGGGTTTATGTCAAAGCAACTATTCAAGGTAAGATATTGCTGGGTTCAGTTCGACGACGGAGTGAAAGGGGGCATTTGAATTTTCGCTACTTCCTATCAACGTGCCGAGCCATCTAGAGAGCTGCTTCGTGAGCTTACAAAAGCTTGACAGGTTTTGCCATGGTGGCTCGACGAGCTTGCTCCAGCTTCACAAGAGTTCACAGGTTTCACCAGAGTGAGACTTGTAAACCAGAACTAGTGAAGCAGCGAAAGTGCAAAATGCCCCCTCCCCGTCGCCGAACTGCGCTGTATTACTGTTTAGAATGCCAAAATGCAAATCTTCTTTTTTTAAGCTAGTCATTCATGCTGCTCCCTATCGCAGAACCATACTGAAAGCCGTCGCTCTCGGAAAAGATGGTTTAGACGACGTGTGCATCGAGCTCATAGCAAGTCATTTAGATAATTTTCGTATCAATGTTGATGTATTAGTTAACTACTACCTTCTTAAAAAGCTTGAAACTCCTGCTTGCTAAGCTTTTTTTTTGTAAATACATTGCTCGCTCAATTCTTGTCTCAGTGTGCTAGATTTATTGTG